GTGGAAAAAAATGAAGAGGGATTGTTGGTATGGCAGCTTATCTATAAATTCAAAAGTATCCATTGCTATGCCTAATAATTGTATATCCAAATATTTTATTCTTCTTTAAAAGTATAAAAAAAAACCTTTATCAGAAAAGAAAAGAAGAAAGAGAAATTGTCAGAATGGAAATTTATAAATTCAAAATATTCATTGCTGTATCTTATAATAGTATATCTAAATATATTATTTTTCTTTAAAAGTATCAAAGTTTATAAATAATTTAAAAATTTCTTGCATGATTATATGCATTATTAGTTGAAGTTTATTGTTACTTTTATTAGTGCTAGCACTTTCAGTGAAGATATTAGTAGATGGAGCTGCTTGAATGCTGCTGTCACTTTCAGTAATTCTGCTTTTGGTAATTCTACTCCTTTTGATGATATTACTGATTCTTTTAGTGAGAAATTTAGCCAAGCTTTCAGACTTTTCATATGATATTTTATTTTTTCATTCAGTGTCATCTCTATTATAGGTCAATAGACTGATCTCAGAGAAAACTCATTTTGGAATTACTTTGATTGACTAATAGAAATTTGTAACCAAAACATTTCCTTTTTTCATACTATAATATATTTTGATTTGTAAAATGTATTTTTGCATTAATAAATAACCCAATCATATGAGTGAAACTTTAATAAGTCTTACATTAATATAGCCTGTTGGTATTGGCTATGTAATCAACAAAATTTTAGTTGCTAAAGTGTTTTAAACATGTTTATTTATGGTCTGTATTACCATGTTTTTTCAATTGTCTATCTGTAACTCATTAAAATGAAATTGTTAAAATAATTAAAACTGTTAATTTTGCATTTTAAAAATTTAACCAGTTTCCAATTTCTCATCATCATATTATTAAAATAAGATGTTTGAATTTCCTTTACTTCTTCCTTATTTATCAATTGATATAAAGCTACTGCTTGAGGATGATAGATTACTACTCTGGTAGGGACTATCTTAAGTCAATTGATTTATTTGAAGGGAAATGTTCAATAGTATAGCTAAGAAAGTGCATAGTGCCAATAGTAGCTTTATTGTTTGAAATTTTGTTTCCATATAAAATTTTTCTCAATTGAAGTATATAATCCTTTCTCCATAAAATTCTTACAGAAATTTAAGAAATCACATAAAGACAATTTATTTATAAGCATAAAGGTTTTTTTCTATAATATTCAATTTGCATGCATACCATTAATGTTATCACAACTTTCACTCGTTCTGCTCACTTCAGCATTTATTTGAAGTTTCTTCTCCCTCTGATAGGATCTTGTTTCTGAATTCTGATCTTTCTCCAGACATGATTTGATGAATAATATTCTGAAAGAAATGTCAGTGTATTTAAATAAAATAATATGTTGCAGCTTCTAGCCAATTGGTAATACTTGAGGGTATAAACATATTTAAAGTTAGTTCTATAGCTAAATTTAAAAGAGATAACAGTTCCAGCGGTATTAATTCTCGCTTCATCAATAGAATCTTATTAATTTTTTGTGGTCTTGTTAATGCATATTTTGGAAGTCTCTGAAGTCTTTTCAAAACTTTTACTTTGTTTATCATCTATCCATTTAAATAATTTTTTTATATGTGATGAAATATTACTAAATATAATAAAATCATCTTCTTGATAAGACAATAAATTTGCATCACAAATTTCATTCCATTCATTTTCAGTAAATAATTCAGAGTATTTTTTTCTGTTTGATAATGTACAATCTATTATATATGATTGTATAGGACTAATAATAATATATACATGGAATTAAAAAAATGAATGAAATATGATAAATACTGGCTCTTATGTGTGGCATATATTGCACTAATCAATTTTATTTTAAATTTTTACAATGTTCAAGATGGAGATTATCATTAGATTTTGATATTTATTCCCTTACGAATAATAATTAATTACTTCGGGGCTGTGGCTACCATTGAAACTTGTGACAACAGTGACAGTGATACATTAAGAAGGTCCATGAATGTCTATGAAATATGTTATGTATAACATCCTTAAATATTTCTATAATATTGCTAGATTTCGGAAGTTGCAAGTATCTTAATAATTGTTTTATAACTTGTTTATTATACTTCTAATTTTTATTAACAAATAGAGTGGCATTTTATTATAAAATTTCAAGATGAAAATAATTTTATTAAAAACTAATGAAATGAGAGTACCCAAACAATTTTGCAAGGGTTTTTATATTTGCAAACTGTGTTACAAAATTGGTGGCTGTACTGTACATATGATATTTAATGTATTTGAAATTTTGAACTGGTTAATAACATGCTATCTGTTATTTATTTTTTCATTGCCACAGGGCTTGGGTAAAGCATGTGATATAACAACAAAAAATTGATTATTGATCTTTTTGATCTTTTTAGATTTTAAGCCAGATAATAAATATTTATTTTATTCACTTCTGTCTTTCTGTTACACTATTTAATTTATTACAAAAAAAAAAAAAAAATTCTAATTGTTAAAATAAATAATGACTAACATAAAAATCCTAAAATTTAATAATATTTTATAATAAATCAAAAAAATAAATTATATCTACGCCATCTATAAAAAATATAATAACTAAAGGTTGTCAAATAAAAATCGTAATAATAACTAAAAGGTTGTCAAATATTTCCCTTCCCTTTAACGCTTTTTTAACGCTTTTTAAAATTTAATAACCAATTTTAAGTTTCTTAATAATACCTAAATTAATATATTTTTCAAAAATTTTCTTAATTTCATTACTTATACCAAAACTACTTGTAGTTACACTTTTACTAACGATAATTAAAGTAAGAGATCTTTGTGGTATACGATTCATCCAATTAATAAAAAATGATTCTAATTCTTTTGGTAAAAAATTTAATTGTTTATGAGAAAAACTTAATATTAATTCATAAACATTTTTAGGAGAATATTTTACCAAAATATTAAATAAATCATTTTCATTAAAATCATCATCAAGTATTGATTCAATATAAGAAATTTTAATACTTTCTAAAGAATTTAAATTATTTAAAATGATTTTTAATGATTTTAAATCATTACTTTTAAATTCACTAAATAATTTTCTTAAATTAGGACAATATTTAATTACAGCTAAATTTAATTCATCATTACTCTTATTAATATAAAATTCCTTTAAATTTTTTCCATTATTTTCTAAGAATTTTATCAATAATTCATTTCTTGGAAATTCAAATTGAAATATTAAAATTTCTAATTTAAAAAATCTAACATATTGTAATAAATTAAAATCTTCAAAAACATCAGTATTATAAAATGATAACACAAGTTCTTTTAAATTAGTGAAATTTGAAATAAATGATAATGGAGAATAATGTATACCACCATAAATATTTAATTTAATTAAAGTATTAGGAATTTTTGTTAATGAAATAATTATATCATTTAAATTTTCATAATTATAAAATTGAAACATATATAAATATTTTAAATTTTGTTGAGATTGAATTAAATCTTTTAAACTATTTGATATGGTTTCTCTAAATGATAAAGTTAATGATTGTATATTATTACATATTTGTGATAATTGATAAAAAAAATCTGAATAAATATCAGTATAACAATATAATTCTTTTAAATCTTTTAAACATTCTCTTGATCCAGGATATAAAATAAGTATATCTTGTTTAAATGGTAAATAAATACTTAATGATTTTAAAGAAGGTATTTGATTCATAAATAATTTAAATAATTCTTGTGTTATCATATATGTATTATTATAAGCATTATAGGATGAAATATATCGTTGATTTCTAAAAAGTTGTTCAATCTTTAAATTAATTTGATCAACTGATAGAATTTTACAAAATGATGCATAATTAAATATTGGAGATTTTGAATTTGGGATTGAAATCCCATTTTCATATAAAACTTTTCTTGATTCATTTGGAAGGCAAGCGATTAAAGTATTATAATTTCTAATTCTTCTCCATAATATTCTAACAGAAATTTGACACCAAAGACGATTTACTAATAAACATGAATATAAAGCTTTTTGATCATCCTCTAAACATTCGAAAATATTGTTAAGACAATCGATAGGAAGTCGTCGCATTTTTTTTTTTCTTTTTTATATTATAAAGTTTTATTTTTATTAATTCAATTTAATTCAATTTACTCAAAATAAATTAGAAGGTTTTTATTAATAATAACGAAAAAGGATAATCACTTGAGGTTTTTAGGTTTACGATCGTGTTACAAAATTAATGGCGTACATGAAACTGTACATATGACGTAGTGTAACATTTAAGGCATATTTTTTTTTTTTTCGTTAAAAGTTTTCTTATATTGTTATGATTTTATTTTTGGCGCAAGATACAGCCGCATTCCTGATAATCACAATCCTGATTGTCAATCATTAGATTTGGGCACAGTCGCGGAGTTCAGTAAGATTTCCACAAATAACCCATGTGACTAAAAATAACCGGTTAATTAACCTGTTATATTTGGCAAACCACGTGATAAAGAATTAACTACTTTTGTAATTTTTTTTTTTTTTTTTTCCCTTCTCCCTTTAATTAACTAAAAAAAGAAAACAATAAAAAAAAAAATTATTAGTATATAAAACATTCTTGATTTTATTAATACATTTTTATTCTAATTTTTAACAATTAACGTAAGAAAAAAAAATAATAATAATAAAAAAATTAATTAAAAAAAAAATGTTAATATAATATTTATTTAGTTATTTAGGGGTTTAACAATTTTTAATCCGGATAAAAATTTAACAATTTGGGAGTCATTTTTAGTCAAAGGAGTTCCAAGGAGTTCAAATGAAGGTTTCATATTTTTAATTTTCTAATAATATAATTAATATATTTTTTATTCGAATTTTTATTAGGATAATAATAAAAATCCGGAAATAAAAAATTTGATTGTGAAACATAACAATAAAATGGGAACTTTAAATAATAATCTATATATTTTTTCTTTTTATCAATTATAAATACGGTATGGTATAATAAAAAAAATCCGAAAATATATATTTCCTAAAATATTTCACTTTATTATTTTTTCCTTAACGTAGTTCATTGATTTTCAAAGTGATTAACCGTGTTAGGTGAGTACGTACATTTTATCACGTGAATGTGGGCAAAAAAAAAAAAGTTCTTTTTTTTTATTATATTCTAGAATCATTTTTTGATAGATTAAGTAATAATGAAACCTTTTATGTCTTGCAGTGATAAAAAGCTGCAAGTTTTACAGCTCGCATTTTTATCAAATTAATAAACTACTACTCCTTTTTCGAAATGAATAGAGTTGTTATTAGCACTAAAAGAATTCACAAAGTAAGGTTTTATATTGACCATCTATTGACAAAATATATATTCAGTAAATCTGGGAATCAGCCCAAAGCCTTTTAAATAAGTTTGTAGCGTTTGTAGCTCAATATAGAAATTAAATATACTTTTTTTCATATATTATATACATTATTAGGAATTGCAAGATTTAGAACGTAACCCGCTGCCATTTTGTGGTGCTGGTCCTATTGATAATGATCCTTTCCATTGGCATGCAGTAATTATGGGTCCTGTAAGTAAAAAATACTTCTTTTTTTATTTTAAGCAGTATTAAAACGTAATCATATTTATGTACTGTAAATTATGGTATAATTTGGATTAGGTTAATTCTCCATATGATGGTGGTGTATTCTTCCTTGATATTCTTTTCTCTACAGATTATCCTTTCAAACCACCAAAGGTAATATATATATATATAGAGCAGATATTGTATGTGGCATATTGGCTCGCTCATAACATACATTATATATAGGTGAAATTCACGACAAAAATCTATCATACGAATATTAACAGTAGTGGAGCTATATGTGCCGATCTTCTAGAAAATCAATGGTCACCGGAACTTACCATCTCGAAGGGTAACTTTTTTATTAAAAAAATAATTAAAATAATTGTAATTATTGCATTATTACATACAAAAGCAAAAGAATTCAATCAATCAATCTTTTATTTTTAAAAGTACTCATGTCACTCCAGTTTTTTTTGATTGAACCAAATCCGGGTAATACTTTATATCTTATATATCTTAAAATTAAAAAGTTGTTAATAATAATAATTTAAAATATTAGACGATCCACTCGTACCCGAAAATGCTTATGTGTATAAGACTGATCGTTCTCGTTATGAAGATACTTGCAGGGAATGGACACGCAAATATGCTAGTGAGTATAGTGAAGTTTTAATATTTAGTAAAATAAAAGAAAAAATTCTCATGCTATTACAACTGCTTTGATATATAGTGTAAACGACCTAAACCGATTCAGACGGTCCATCATTTGTTGTAAAATAATTTTATTATTCGTAATCTGTATATAAACTTACTGTATAAATATCATCCCGGAATTGCTTGTAATAACATTAAGGATATTAAGAAAAATGAATCATCATATAGTCATTTGCAGACATACATTACATTTTTATTTTTTCATATTAAATTATTTCATATTTTATTATTTCTTTAGTTTAGTTAGTGAGTGGGTTATGATATTCAATACTTCAGATATTCAATACTTCAGATATTCGAGATTTCAGATATTCGAGATTTCAGATATTCAAGATTTAACTGTTAAATAAATATATAACCGTTAGTAATAGCTATTTGATTTATTTTATAAATTGTATAAAAATAGAAAAGAACGCGGTAGTAACGTAGTAACGAGAAGAATAAACTTATTCTTTGTACAGATAAACGACATTTCATATAAATAAAAAAGTTCATTTCTTTAATATTATATGGGTTAGTCCGATTCCTCATATTCGGATGATGTATTTTTCTTGTAATTCAAACCTCTAAAAGTATGAATTTCTAAATACAATTATATATACTTTTATTTTTAATATTTTTAATCATACAATTCACTCATGCATGTCCATATATATCGACAGTGATGGAAGTATAAGCGTGGATATTCTACATGATCAATAATGAAAAATCATCATTACTACTATTTTAAAAATAATTTGTCATAAGGAACTTTTTTGCATGTAAAAAACAAGTATTTAATCAAATTGTTCATTTGTTGACCGATCTAAACCCAGATATTACATTAAATATTATAATAATATTTTTTTTCAGACGAACCACTTGAACTTGAAATCCTTATTCATATTTTATTATATGTATCATATTACTATTATTCTCGAATTTAGCGTGATTGGTCTTTATTTGTACGACTTGTGCAGTGCAATAAAATTTTTTTGTGCTTTATATTTTTTGTTTCGTAAATTCATAATTCAATAATGAAAGAAAAAGTGATTGTCACAATTTGTGTAATTTTTTATACTAAATTAGTTGTTTATTATCGAACATTAATTATTGTTACATGTGATTTAAAAATAATTGCTAATCTTTATAAAGAATTGTATTAACCATTATAAATGTTTCTATGGGAATTTCATGACATATTATGATATAATTTTATAATTTTTTACTGTACACATAAAATTTTTTTAAAACTTTTTGAATTAGAATGATTCATTATTACTTTAATATGGAATTTAACGACTTTTAACTCCGAAGATCACCGACAAGGGAATATTTATCACGTGAACCGTAACACAAAAAAACGATTATAGTAGAACAAAGAAATTCTTTTTTAGGTTTCTTCTAAAAGAAAATGACATATGACTCATGCATTTTCATTTCAACATATTAGGTAACAATTGAAACACCAAAAGCTTAAAAAGACTTTTTTTTCTTTTCCAACTTTTTTAAGGTACACTTTTTTTGCACTTTCCCATATTACTTTTTATCTTGGTTTTTTTTTTTTTTTCTAATAAACGAAAATGGCGCTTAAAAGAATTAACAAAGTAAGTTTATGCGAAAATTATTAGGAGAATGAGGAGATAAAAAAAAAAAATATATATTTTTTTTTTCGTTGTCGATCGTTATCTTAATTCAGTTAATGAAATTATTTTTTGTCGTGCTCTTTTACAACCTAATTTATTAGGAAATAAAAGATTTAGAGAATGACCCACCACCAACTTGTACTGCTGGTCCAATTGATGATGATCTTTTCCACTGGCAAGCGACAATTATGGGTCCCGTAAGTAATATTCCCCTCTTTTATTACTTTTTTTCAAGTATAAAAAGATTATATTTTGAATATTATGGTATAATTTGATTTAGGAGGATTCTCCATACAAAGGCGGTATATTTAACCTTGATATTCGTTTCCCTCAAGATTATCCGTTTAAACCACCAAAGGTAAATTTTTATTGTGCGTGTTTTTATACTTAATAGTATAACTTACGTATTAAATTTTCATTTACAGGTGATGTTTCAAACAACAATTTATCATCCGAATATTGACAATAAAGGAAATATATGCGTGGATATTCTAAAAGATCAATGGTCGCCGGGACTTACCATCGCGAAGGGTAATTTTATATATTACTCATAAAGTAATTGAGATTCTTTAAAAAAAAAATAGAAAAATATTAATCAAATCTTTATATTCTATCAGTACTTTTGTCAATTATCTCAATGTTGACCGATCCAAATCCAGGTAATAATCTTCATCTTACCCTTTATTTTTTTTCCTAATTTATTTCCAATTGATCAATATAAATATATTTTTTTTTTCAATCAGATGATCCACTTGCGCCCGAAATTGCTCAAATATACAAGACTGATCGCTCTCGTTTTAATGATACTGCTAAAGATTGGACACGTAAATATGCTACTGAATGATTAATATACGTTCAATGTGTTATTCAGTATGGTTTTAAATTAGTTTATATCTTTGTGCTTATTTAAACCTTAAATAAATTATTGATAATATGTACAATTCAAATTCTAATAAAGAGAAATTTTATTATTAAAAATTATGATGGCTAATTAAATATGATGATTATTTGCCAAAGTTTATATTACATTTTTATAAACCGTGAATTTGTTGCTAGAAATATATATAAAAATGGACGATTTACGAAATTAATCATTGATGTACTAATCTTGATTTTTTTCGATGTTGAAAAAGTGTGATGAAGGGGGAAGAGAGACTGTACGAGATAGAATGAGCTTACGTAGACAAGCAAGTTCGGAAAAAAAAAGAAATAAAGTATGGGATCTATTGATCATTAAGAAATAATTTCAATGGCAGAATATTGTGAAATACTGTAATACTGTATAAAAAATCAAGTAAATCAAGTAATAACCATTTTACCAAATGATTTTTTCAAATGGTTTCTCAATTTATAGAAAATTTTTAATTCTTCTATTAATAATGCATAACAATTTTATTACTCATTCGACTTGATCACTATTTAATTTTTTTTATCAATATTAGAAAATCTGGATACTTGCAATAATTGAGTAAGATAGATTGTAAAGCAAGTTTATTTTCATATTTTATGATAATTTTTTTTTAATTATTATGTTCATACTCTTTTCACGTTAAATTTTTTTCACTCATTTTCAAAATATTTAAATTACGTAAAAAAATATTTTCAAATATTATTAATATTATTGATCTTTAATTCATCTTCCCTAATAATAAGTGGAGACCGAGTATCGAGATCTTTTTTTTAAGAAGGATAAGAGGTAAGGGTAGTTTTTCTGCATTGAGTTACTTGATTATTTGAACTACTACTTATGCCCGAGCTCCGAGTTAGTTAGGGTCTATTTCTTCTCTTTTATTTTAAATTTTTAAATCCTTCTTTTCTTTTATAAAGAGAAAGAACGTTAAAATTAGGGTTAAAGTTAGAGTTTATAGACGTCAAAATTTTTATTTTTAAAAAAACAAAATTTCAAGAAAATACTCTAATTTAACTTATCATATTTTGACTATTATTAAGAATTAATAATTATAAAAAATAGCGATAGAAATGTAACATACGGCAATAGTATATATTTTATTTTTTAAGAAATAATCTTAATATCATCTATACAAAATAAAAAATAATAATAATATAATAAAAGTAATAATATTATAATGAACAAGACGTAATATACAAAATAATTTAATATGTTTAACTATCACCCTTCGATTCTTATTAATTATCTTCATTGAGATCTATTAAACGTTAAAAGTAAATAAATTAATTAATAAACGAAAATTATTAACAAAATAATGAATTATAGAACAAAAATATTTCACCTGATTCGTCTAATTGACAATCAAAACATTCTGAAACTACAAAATAATTTAAATATAATGTTAAAAAATTTATTATTATAATTATATTGATCATTAATTAAAAATACTTACTTAACGTTGATTGAATAACGTCTATAAAATCAGTAATTAGTAAATGTAAAATAAAATTTTCATAAACCACAAGTAAAATTAAATTACCTGAATTTACTGGTTCTGGAAGATCTTTAAAATTTAAAAATCTACTAGTATAGATTGCTTGTGGATGTATTTGAATATTATTAAAATTTTCACTTGATCTTTTAAATCTGATTTCATTATTATATTCAACTATTTGAAAACTATCTTCATATTTTTTATTACACCAATCATTTAACTTTTGATATATTTCTTTGGCAGTTGGTCTATTATCTTCTTTAGCATCCCAACATTTAGTAATCAAATCTGTAAGTAATTTTGGTGTATATTTAAAAATATTTGGTCTAAGTCCTTTACATATTTTAATAGTTAATGCATGATTATGAGGTATATTATTATAAGGAATTTCTTCAGATATATATTCATTTATTATTATTCCAAATGAATAAATATCAGATGCTTTAGTATATTGATATCCACGTAAAACTTCTGGTGCCATATAAGGTAATACTCCATAAATTCCTTTTTTTTCGATTGATTTCTTTTCATCATTTACTGGTTGACACATACCTAAATCACTTATATATGGAATATAATTAAATAATATATTCCCTGAATGAAGGTCTTTATGAATTTTACCTGCATTATGAATATCTAAAAGTCCACTTGCAATTCGTTTTAAATTATAAATTTTTACATAATATCCTAACTTATTATTTAAATAATGATTTCTCAAATTTCCACCATCACAATAAAATAAAACCATCATATAATCTTTTGTATTTGGATCTTGAGTAATTCCATAACATTGAATTACATCCACAAGATAAATTTGAAGATGGGATTTAATCTAATAAAAATAATGCAAAGTGAATAAATATATAAATAATAATCTTAAATTAAATAAATTAAATAAATTAAATAGTAAAATTATTAATTAACAAATTATAATTACCTCATTTAAAAAATCTGTTGTTATACAAGAAGAAGAATTATCTAAACTTTTCAATATAACATTTTGATTAATATTTCTTTCCCATTCTTGATTTTCAATATCCCAAGAAATAATATTTCCTTCAATCCATTTAGCAGAATATATTTTACCAAATCCACCTTTAGTAATATAAATAATATCTTTAAAATTTTTAAAAGGTATCCATTCAAGATATTTCATATAATGAACAGAATTAATTTGTGATTGTTGAATAAATTCATCAATATCATTATTTTTACTGGTCCAATTTTTAAAATTATTTTTAAATCTTTTTGAATTACAATTTTGACACCAACGTTCTCCTGTACCAGGTTCTTTACATTCTCCACATATACCATAAGCTTTTTTTCTTTTTTCTTTATCTTTTATATTAACTATTCTTTCATCTATTATTTCTTCTGTTAAATTTGTTGAATCAATAGTAGAAATTGTAACATGTAACTTTTTTAAAATAAATATTTATATAAAAAAAAATTATTATTTATATGTAAAAAATTATAAATATTCAATTATTAAAAAATTTTTTTTTTTTTTTACCTGGTATTTATTATTAAATTTCCATAGATTTTTTTTAGAACTCATTTTTGATATTTCCATATTAAATTAAATTAATTAATTTGGATCGTATATTTATAATATTTGATATTATGATTTAAAAATAAAACATTAGCAATAATAAAAGTGAAACGTAAAAAAAAATTTTTTTTTTAAGAATAAATACTTTGCGCAACATGTGCAACATTGAATAATTTTAAACCAAAAATGGCTAATTATGGTACGTTCGTACAGAAATGACGTCATTTCGATTTTTGATCCCTTTCGGCCTTTCCTCGCAAAAAATATCGATCTTCATAGGCAAGATCAATAAAGAATAGTCGTACAATATTAAGATCCATATTTTTACCCTTCCCCTTTGTCCCTTTGTCATAGTACATTTTAGGAAATCGATGATAAAAGTTATGTAATGTAATCCCCTTCTCTCCTTAGAAAATGACAACTTCCCCTTATTTATACAATTGATCTTCATAAAAACATTACAATTTCAAAGATCGATATCAATTAATAAAGTTGTAGTCAAATAAATAACGCTCTATATCAAATAATAAACATGTGAGATTTAAAAAATAAAGTATTCTGCTCAAAATCCGGTAAAGTTGAAAATGCAAAAGTTAATATATAATTTTTCTCCATTAGTCAACCTTTTGAATTCTTCAAGTGCTGTCATTTCGTTTGTTTAATAAGAAAAAAATGGAAAGAAAATTTTTAAAACTTTTATAGTCGGTGAAATATAAAAAAGGTTGTCTTTTTAAAACTACTTTAACATGCATATGCGTCTAAATATTTTAATGAATCCTTAAAAAAGAAATTCTTATCACAAAGATTAAATGAACTTTTTCATTTCCGATTATTGTTTTAATAAAAATCAAAAAATCGTGAAATGGAAAGAATAGTGTTGAACATTTAAGTAAAGTATTAAAGCAAATGTAGTAAATGTTAAATTTCCTGTTACAGCAATTTTTTCATCCTTGTTATAAATTATAAATATAAATATTTTAACCGATCCTGTATCACAAGATGATGAGTCATGTAATTCCTAAATTACATAACTCTACGAAAGAAGTAAGAAAATCTAAAAATCTATTCCTTTAATATTTTTCACAATATTTTTAACTTTATCATTTTATCATTTTTAACTATTTCATTTGTAAAAGTTATGATTACAAGAAGATATCTATTACATTATTAGTATATACTGTATAATGTGGCTATCGAATAAAAAAATTTAAAACTTTTAATTTATTTTCCTTTATCCATAATTTAATTCAAATTTATATTTGTATTGGTGCGTTGAAAATTACGAAATTCAAACCCGAATATGATATCACATATAAAGATGGGCCATATTAAATTCAAATAATTACACTAATATATATAAGAACAAGAAAATAAAAAAAATTTATTTAGGTAATAAAAAAAATGCGAAAAGTCATTGAATTAATTATACTCATTAGCATATTTGCGAGTCAATTCCCGTGCAGTAGCTTCATAACGATTACGGTCATTCTCATACATATGAGCAATTTTAAATTCAAATGGTTCGTCTAATTTTAAATAATTATCTTAATAATTAGAATCAGAGCGGATGAATGTGGAATATGAATGTGAATAATGATGCAAATAAAAACACCTGGGTCTTGGTCAGTCAATAATAAACAAATTGACAAGAGTACTTAAATAATAAAAAGTTAATTAATCTTTTACATAAAAGAGTTACAAACTATTTTTGTAACCGATTTACCTTTTAGATTAAAATACGCAGGTGACCATCGATAACAATCTAGAAATCCAGGTTTATAGGTGCTGATATTCGGATAGTAGATCTAGTAGAGATTACGTGAATAAGTACGTAAATTAAAATTCAATTGTATGAATAAAATATACCTTTGGTGGTTTTAACGGATATTCTATTGGAAAATTCAATATCAAAAAAAATATACTTCCCGAGTATGGAGAGTCAGATCAAAATCATAATATCAATTAGTTAAATGAATTAATCATCTAAGTAGATAAATCACAATTTGATATATAGGCTGTTAATTAAGCAAAATAAACTTTTAGGACCCGTAAGGGCAATGACATATATTAGCTAATATAATATCTTAGGTTACACATAATATAAACTATGTGAAATGATTGGATTGGTCATAAAATCTTAACTGGGGTGGGGGAGTAAACGTTATTATTAAAATAATATTAGCTAATATATGTCACTGCCCTAATTGTAGCTTACCAATGAAAATGATCGTCTTCAATAGGACCAGTACTACAAGAAGATAGTTAATTTAATGTGAAGGTTCGAAAAAAGATAATAAATCAGCGATTATTATTTCCAAAATTCGGCAATTAAATTGTTATAAGACTTAGTAATGTTATGAAAAGGAATTATATATATATCAATTTTTTTTTATGTGCCATTTCGTATAAAAGTATTATAAATTGGGAATGTTGTCTTTTTAAATTATATAACATGCAAATACGCCATTTATTAAATATCAACAATATATATTATGCGCCCAGTTGATTTTCTGAGACCTAAATTCATTTTACTATTAACGTAAAAAACAAAAAGGGTAAGATATAGTACCCATATAACTTTTAAAAATTAATAAAAATGTGTAATTAATCATGTGACCCTTGGTCATAAATTAAAAGGCTTTGATCTTAATGACCAAAGTATTCACTATGTTTTCAATGATGATAAAATTTTTGTTTCAAATGTAGCTACAAAAAGTCAGCCTTTTGAATATATTTACTAATTTTATTTCATAATTCAACTTCATGGATTCCATCTTTTCATCCTTTCTATTTTTAAACTTTATGTGTTTTATCCCCTATAGTTTTATTCTTGAACTTTCTAATTTATTTATTCTTGGTCTTTATGGATTTTTCTTATAATTGGCTTCATTTTTTTATTTTTTATTTCATCTCATTCCTTTATTTTTTATCATTTCGTTATTCATTCCTTTTTTGTTCTCTTCATTTTTTTACTTTTCACCTCGCTTTATTTCTTTATTTTTTTTCATATTTATTTTTTCTTTATTTTTTTTTTTATTTTTGATACTAGTATTTCGTTTCCTTTATTTTTTTCATTACTTTTTTTTTATTTTGCCAATTTTCATTTCTCTTTATTTCCTTTATTTTTTCCCCCGCTTCCTTTGTTTCACGATTAACTTGTTATTCTTTAACAGCTTACTTTATCTTAATACTTATTCAATTACGGATTTTATATAATATACTAATGGCATTTGATATACATTTTTTGTACTGTATTATAAGTTTATAGAGTCTGAAAACAGTTAATTACGTACTATTTTATTATTGTAAATTAACTATAAATCAATCCATTTACTTTATATAAATTGAGTGCAAGGCTTGTACATATGTATGTATAATAAATACATGATAAATCGGTAAAAGTATTTAAGGAGAAAGTCTTGTAATAATTATCATTATAAATTTCGCTACCATAAATAAAGGCAATTTTTTACATAATATGATCGTCCAATTGTAACGAAATTTCCCGATTGTAAAGGTAATGTAACCTAGAGGTCTGCATTGACCACTATTTTACAACCCGGCCCGGCCTGCACTTGGAAATTAATATAAAGTACCCGGCCCGGCCTGGACTTAAAATATTAAAAACCCAGCCCGGACCAGACTCGGACTTTTATTATATCATTTTGTTGTAAAAACAAAAAAATCGGCCAACTTAATTTTGGCCAGTTTAATTTCGGCCAGAATTAAGACGATTTTGGCCAGAATTACGAAAATCCGGGTTCAACGAAAATTCATGTGCCGGCCCAAACCCGGATTGGGGTCTGGGCCGGGTTAGGGTTCCGGGTTCCGGGTCCCGTTTGCAGACCTTTAATGTAACCTGTGTCACATGGTTGAAATAAAAATAATAATATCGACAAAATCAACAATTTAGTTAATTTAATATTATTGGAGCATCAATACCATCAATGCTGACTAAAAAAAGATAAATCATTTGGTTCCATATTTTATGCGAAATTTTTATTTGGTTTCATTCATTTTTTTTTATGCTGATCATTTGTAGCACGTACTGACGTACTGTGTTTTATTTTTATCATTAGGTTATACTATTTTTAGTCAAATTATTTAATGTCACACATGTGCACAAGAGTTTATTTTGTGAATAAATTTATCTAATATCCGTTTATTTCTTTTTTTTTTTTTTTCGAAAAAAAAAAAAAATTTTTTATGTTCCATTCTATTATACGGTTAATGTTATCTTTTCAAATTTAAATAAATAAATTGTAATATATATTTTTAGTACAATAAAAATTAATTTAGTATGGAAATATCAAAAATGAATCCTACAGAAAATAAGAAAAATTTATGGAAAGAAGTTGATGCAGATGAATATCAGGTAAAACAGTTCATTTTATTATTAATAACATTACATTATTGAATTTTATAATTTGGATTATAATAGTTTTTTTAATCATTTATTTTTAAAAGGTACATGTTACAATTTCTACTATTGATTCAACTACTGAATTATCAGAAGAGGCAGATGATAAAATAGTTTATATGGAAGATTTAGAAAAAAGAAAACAAATATATGGAATATGTGGAGAATGTAATGAACCTGGCACAGGAGAAGATTGGTGTCAACCTTGTAATGCTAAAAGATTTAAGGATAACTTTAAAAATTGGACTAGTGGAAATAAACATATTGATGAATTTATACAACAATCACAACTTAATGCTGTGTACTATAGCAAAAAACTTGAATGGATACCTTTTGAAAATTTTAATGATATTATTTATATTGCCAGAGGTGGATTTGGTAAAGTCTATTCAGCTGAATGGCCTGAAGGATATATTTATTCTTGGGATATTGAAAATCAAAAATGGAATAGGTATGGTGATATGAAAGTTGCATTAAAAAGTTTGGATAATTCTTCTTGTTTAAGTACAGAATTTTTAAATGAGGTAATTAAAATTAGTAATGTAATCTATTTACTTTAATTTTATTTATGTATTATTTATATATTTATTAAAAATTTTTCACTTTCATTATTTTTTTAGATTAAAACTCATCTTCAGATTTATCTTTTGGATGTTATTCAATGTTATGGAATAACTCAAGATCCAAATACTAAAGATTATATGATGGTTTTACGATACTGTAAAAATGGAAATTTTAGAAATTACTATATGAATAATGAATCAAATTATTATTCAAAAATTGGTGAATTACGACAAATTGTAAGTGGACTTCTAGATATTCACAGTGCTGGAAAAATTCATAAAGATTTTCATTCAGGTAATATATTATATTATGATAATAGAATTCCATTTATAAGTGATTTAGGAATGTGTCAACCAGCAAATAATGAAAAACAATCAGCTAAACAAGAAGGAATTTATGGAGTATTACCTTACATGGCACCAGAAGTTTTACGTGGATATCAATATACAAAAGCATCTGATATTTATTCATTTGGAATTATGATGAATGAATATATATCTGAAGAAACTCCTTATAATAATATTCCTCATGATCATGCTTTAGCTATTAAAATATGTAAAGGACTTAGACCAAATATTTTTAAATATACACCAAAATTATTTGCAAATTTGATTACTAAATGTTGGAATGCTAAAGCAGAAAATAGACCAACTGCTAAAGAATTGTATCAAATATTTTATAAATGGGATAATTATGAATATGATGATAGTGATATTAAATCTATTAAATCTCAAATAAGTGAATATGATGATAAAATCGTATTAAACAGAACAATTGAAAAAAAATCTAAAAACATTCAAACACATCCACAAGCAATCTATACTAGTAGACTTTTAAGTTTCAAGAACCTTCCAGAACCAGTAAATTCAGGTAATTTAATTTAACTTTGATAACATAAAATAAATTTGTTGCTAATTATTGTATTTTTTTTTAAAATAGGTGCTATTCAATCAACATTATGTAAGTAACTATATTTGAATATTGGTAATTAATATAATATTAATTATATTCATATTTTTTATTATTACATTTATTTATTAATAGTTTCAGAAGGTTTTGATTGCCAATTAGATGAATTGGGTAAGATATTTACTTTAGTAGGTTTTTTATTTTATTAGTATGTTATTTATTTATTTGTTTGTTTATAGATCTTAATGAAATTAATCAAGATGATGAAAACAATATTGAATGAGTTTTATTTTCTTTCTATAAAATCAAATAAATTAGTTTAAAAATTTATAATTATTATTTATAGTTTTCATGTATGTTATTTTATATTTAAATAAATTCTAAATTATTATTTTAGCAAATATATATAATAGAGTTTTTGACTATTAAATTATATTTAATAATATAGAATATAATAAAAAAGTTTGATAATAATCTGAAATATAATACATTTTATTTTACCAAATAAAGCTAATTAACCCAGGTTATATAAATTGTAGTATATCATTCTTGATTTTGATTGACTTCTTTATTAATTCTAACTTAATAATAGTAAATTATAATGGAAACAAAATGTAATTATCATGTTTAAAAACATGTATACAAGCATTTATTTTAATAAATCAAATAAAGAATTATTTTAATAGTTATAAACTAATACACATGATAATTGCAAAACAAAATATTGATTTTGCAATATGATATGAATTTATTTTGTATTGTTTTCAACTATAACTAAATTTGAACTAGATGAATTCTTAAATTTTTTGTTTTATTATTTCTTGATTTAAGTGTTATACAAAGAAACATATTTTTGTTTCATATATATATCAATTTATATCAGATAATAACTGACGTATTTCAGGTAATGAACCTTGCAATAGGATATGATGAGATTATCTCGTAATTTATTTTTTTATAAATAAATATTAATGTCAGATAAAAAATGTGTTGCAGCGTCAAAGATAAGATAATTCTGTGAAAGCAAATTATTCAAAATTATAAAATATTTAAAGCAAAATGAATGAAAAAAAAATTTTTGATAACAGATAATGTGATATAATTTACAAATTGGTTTTAAATAGCGAACTTGAAAGAATAATACGTATTGTTTAATTACAAATCAAATCATTTATTTTACATACACAGTGAAATTCGATAAACCGGATATTTTTAGTGGAACCGATAGATCCGGTTTATCGAATTTCACTGTGTACATATGTATGTATAGTATAATAAATATTGGTAAAAGCATTTAAGAAGAGAATCTTGTAATAATCAACATTATGAATTTTGCTACTATAAATAAAGCAATTTTTTATATAATAAGATCCCTATTGTAAAGGTAGTGTAACCTGTGTCACATGGTTGAAATAAAAATTATTGAACGGGCAAAAAATTTTGATTTCTTTTGATAAATTGCTTTCGAAAATTTTATGGGTCCCTGGTGCAAATATCTAAGATCACATGATAGGAGCAGTTGTACAATTACATAATTACGTAATGATATCTATCTTTAATCTTCAACCATTAAATTTTTTCTTTACCGTAACAGCGAATGAACATGAATAATATTATTATCCATCCGTATATTTTTGAAGGTAAGAAATAAAAGAAACGACACCTTATACCTTGTTCACCAATGTAATACCAACCAACAACTTTTTCAGCTCTTAAATCATATTTCCTACGGACATCAGAGAACAATCTTGTGCCAACATTGTCGGAATTTATACTGACCTCGTAGCTAGGTCACCTCCGGATTCAAATAAATCTGCAGCACTGCAAGGTGCATGGGCAAAGCGGTTTACCTATGTAGCGTCAGTTTTGAACATCTCCAAGGAAAGTATTCTATCTTCGACTCTATTTCTCTGTTTTTTAGGGTATCGGGTCAGGTTATGCCCTGAACTGCAGATACAGGTGACGTCCTCACCCTAGTGATTATGTCGGAACCTCAGTCAGGTAACGCCCTGAACTGTGGCATAGGTGACGCCCTCATCCCCATGATTGCGCAACTTATTCCATCTTTGACTAGCTACTCATTAGAAAAGCGTAAATAACCAAAATTTTGAAACATTAGGTGGTCAAAGATACATCTGATTGGTCTTGTGTTCTCGAGGAAAGATTTAAGGTAGGCTACAAAATCCTTTGAGCTGATTACTCTTGATGAATTTTATTGTTACTTAAACGTATCAAACGTACGACAGATACAGATTTCAAGTAGTCGTCGCGAAAAAAACATATACGACGTATTCAAACGAAAATGAACATGTTGGGGAGCAACTGTTAGAAGACCAGAGAAACGAACTAGAGAAGGTGAAACTATAACTTTGGATACGAAAAAAGCAAGTATAGTCTACACACGTTTTGTGAACTCTGTACAGATATGACTTATATCATTTTTTTGTAATACGATACAGGCCAAAACGTTTAACGTTTCCTTTGATGAATATACTGGCCCCAGCGAAAATGATAGAATTGAAATTCCCGATGATTCTGAAATTCTCGACGTGGAACCTTTGTCAGGCTGGGAATTCGATACACTGATGCCAAGCTGGTTAAAAAAAGCGATGGATCGACACAAAACATTAACAACCGCGCAGACAGATCCTTTAGAAAAATTCGAACTAGCAAAACAGTAAGTGATTAATGAATACTTTTCCTTTTTATTTGTGCAGGTCCTAATCAATTTCGTTATTTAGACCAATCTGGTGGCGAATCATAGACGCATCAGATCCGAAAATTGTACAGGATTTCATAACCGAAGAAGAATTTTCAGAACTTAATGCCATATTTTCAAATATTCTTAATATTGGACATCAGAATGATTGGACAGTGTTAGAGCCTGTCGCTGAAAGATGTTTGCAATCTCTTGCAAAGGTAGTTTTTGACATTGAAGCATCTTGATCTTTAAATGATAATCTTAATTAGCATAATTTCGTTTCTAGCTGAATAATGAACAGATCCGTATGATAGGTGAAATGTTTAAGTATGAAGGAATACATGGGGCAGTTTGTAAACTTCGGAAAATAATCCAAAATATCGAAGAATTGAACATAGAAGAACCTGATCTGTTTGATGACGAACCCACAAATAATAAAACACTATCATTGGTTCTTGAAGAGAATGACTATCTTGATAAAGAGGTAGGATACATCTTAGAATTGGTTCGTTACACGTAAGTTCATTTGTTAAATTTCAGCTTGGATGCATACACAGCTTCTAATACTGCAATTCTTTACAATCAGATGTGAAATATTTAGACAAAAGAATTCCGCAACGAAAAAACTCCGAAAGGGACATAGATACAGTTCACGACATAAATATTCGGAATTTTATCACAATATGTAAAAATATAATAAAGTTTATTTTTTTCATTTCAAATTTATTGTATTTATAGTTTAAAATGCGCAGATAAACATACGTCAAAAATCAGTAATTTATCGTGTAACCATTTTTTTCTATGACCATGTTAATCCGATCTGACATGCTATCTGCTAAATTAAAGAAAACGTTTTGATCAATGTTATCCCATTCCTGCTGAATTATGCCCTGAAAATCATCTCCACTAAGTGATTTTTTTTTCATAATCCAATTATTGACCCTTTTTTCTACATTCCCTTTGAGAATCGCCCATAGATTCTCGATAGGATTCAGGTCAGGTGAGTTAGCAGGCCAATCAATAACTGAAACATCGTTAATCACAAAAAATTGATGGGTAAGCTTTGCAGTGTGTGTAGGTGCGTTGTCTTGCTGAAATTTCCATCCATAACCAGCATGATAAGCATTAGGAAGTAGTTGGGATTGAAGAATTTCACGGTATTTTGCAGAATTCATGTTTCCTGTAAAAAGTGCAACTCCAATTGGTCCCTGACGGCAAAATGCACCCCAAACATGCACTTTGTATGGATGCTTTACCATAGGATGTGATGGACGTGGATTGCCAGCCTTGTAAAGCACAATTTGAGTATTACGGAATGTCTGAAATGTACTTTCATCTGAAAAAATTGTGTGAGACCAGTCATCTTGGGTATGGTTTAAGGCCCATTGAAGACGAGTTTCAACATGACTTGCCTTAAGAAGGGGAACTGATCGTGGCCTACAAACAATATAATTAAGTTTATTTTTGAGAGTACGTTGAACAGTTCGGGTTGATACATTAAGGTCTGGATATAAATTATTCAGCTTTGTAGTCATTAGAGCTGAAGTTGTAGCATTATCATTTTTAAGAAGACGGCCAAGATATCGACGTTTTTTGGGAGAAAGAACAAGAGGACGACCAGGAATGGGTAAGTGCTTAACACTTCCTGTTTTTTTTAGACGGTTGACAATATCATATACTGTAGACTTAGGAAAACCAGTTATTTTAATTATTTCGGAGGGTTTTCGTATGTTATTGTCCCATAATTCCTTTATGGTTAACCGTTGCATTTCAAATTCCGAAGTGGGTGCCATGAATTTGTTTTGCCACTAATAAAACAATCAGGTGAGAATTTTTGTGTTTATATATATATTCTAAAGGGGCTGGTGAATTTCCATTTTAGTTATTATTTTGATTGCACAAGACCTGGTGTGACAGCGCCCCTTTATGCACAAAATCAAAAATTCCGGATATTTATGTCGTGAACTGTATGTTCATCAAAAGACACATTTTTGCTTGTTTCGACGATATTCTTTGCTTTATTCTGGTCGATTTTTAACAAGTTAAAACGTTTATTTAATATCTCGACAAGGCAACCCGCGCCACAATAACTGCGCCATAATAGAATCAATATTGTTATTTTTTTTTACCCGCAGCGAATTTTAATAAAGATAACAAAATAATAATAGCAGCTGCGCCTCGAAGAGTGTGATACAAATAGGGTAAAGATATTATTGGATGATAAGGTATTACAAATAATTCATAAATTTATTATTATGACCCTAAAAGCTTTAATGATCTTACCGAGATTGTTTCTGAAGGATCCGCCTTAGTTTATGCTGGATATTGGAAAAATACAAGATTTGCAATTAAAACGAAAGAAGTCATTAATCAAATTAATGAAGTATGTTAACTATGTTAATTAATTACGAGTTTTTTTTGTTTAAATAATATCAATTTTTTGATAATATACTATTTATATAAATTATCAAAAATTTTTATTTTTCAAGATTCATTTAACGGGAATTGTTAATCCTCATCCAAATATAATTCAATTTTGTGGTGTTACGAAATTAAAAGGTAAAAATAATAAATATCTATAATACTTTTTAAGAGTATTTCGTTTAACATGTCATGTATTTTTTTATTCTTTTAGGTGAAACGAATTATTCGCTTGTTCTTGAATATACGACTGGCGGAATATTAGAAAATATTTAAGGGACGATACTATATCATTTAAATGAGAAAATCAATTAAAGTTTGCTAAAGAAATTGCATATGCGATTTCATGGTTACATGTTGATAAGAAAATTGTTCACAGTGATCTTGTAAGATATATTACTTATCAATATTTTATAATTCATTTTATATTACATTATTAAGATTATTAATACATTCTCTCTTTTTTTTTAAGCATCCTAGTAATATTTTGGTACATAATGATACAATAAAATTGGCAGATTTTGGACGTTCACGTTTAAAAGTATCAGATCATTATACCAAAGTATTTGGTATAATTCCTTACATGGATCCGAAATCTTTTGAAACTCATTCATATGTTTTAACCGAAAAATCTGATATATATAGTTTAGGAGTGATACTCTGGGAATTAACATGCGTTCACCATTTGATTTTTAAAATAAAAATTGATATTATTCAAATTAAGCAGGATATTCTTAAAAGAGAAAATCCTATTTCAGAAACAAATATTAAATTAGTAACGCTTTATAAAAGTGAGTATAATAAATAACATAATTTTGTAATGTGTTCACAAAACTAATTTTAATTTATTTATATTAATAGAATGTTGGAAAAATGAACCAGCTGAAAGACTTGAATATTCATCAAATAATTTCAGAATTAAATAATATCGTTGTTCCTATTGATCTTTTGATTTTTGAAAAAAATAACAATGAATCAATTATACTGTATCAAATAATTTTAATTCTAAAGAAAGTGAATATTAATTGAAAAAAAATGGAAAATGAAGATTCTTACTGAATTTACCAAGTTGTGATGATTGTTGATGGGAATTCTGATAAATATCAAATGCGAAATATAAAAATTATTTAAGATTAAATTATTTTATTTTGTTTTATTTTTAGATTTTTTTTTTTATCAAATTTTCTTTCGTATTTGTTACACCGCGTTTTTTTTTATTTCTGGTTTTTCTTTTATTTATTATTGTATACTGTAAATTATTCATTTCTTATTTTTTTATATTATTTATAATTTTTATATGAACTTTATTTTTTGATGATAATGATGGGTAATAAAAAATGAACATACAAATATAATAATGATTTGATTTCTTTTTCTATATAAAATGTAAAAAATCTAACCATTGACATAAGGATTCATCGCGAAAAAAGGCCATAGGATAGATATCATAATCCTTATTTTTCTGCCGTTACCACCACCTAACTCACGTTATACATGTTAAATCAAAACGATATTAGCGATATATTTTTTAGCTATACAGTATATACAGAGCATTAGCGAAACTTTAATAATATATATTTTTTTTAGCTATACATATAGAACATTTTCAAAGAGATATAATTTCACAATTAGATTAAAATGAATTCTGATAATTAAATTAGAACATTATAATGACTTCAATTAATTCTTAAGCAGCTACACTATCATGTAAATAAAAAAAACAAAAAAACTAAAACTAATTACAATCAAGTTTCATAGGAAAAACATTCAAAATATTTTACGTAAGGAATATCATTACATGTTCTTAACTTTCCTTGAATGTCCAGCGTATATTATATTATTGATTTATTGATTTATTCATCAGCAAATATATTATAAAATATTTACTAATAATAAAAAATAATTTTTTTTTGAAAATTAAATTGTAAAATGGGTTATCCAAGGAGCAGTGATTGTACATGGGTATGAGCTGTGTGTGCTCCTCATTCATCTGAAGTAGTATGTTGTCATTCACCATTTTCCATCTCTAGAGCATTCCATTTTTGTTGAAGTAAATTGGGGTATGTATTATTTATTTCTCAAGTAATCACTCTCCAGAGCTGTTCAGAAAAAAAATCATTTTGATAAAACATGATGGCGTCAGATTAAGGTTAGATATGTCTTTAACACAAAAAAATCAACCAGTCCTGTACTGGCTTGCTGATGATAATGGCATCGGACCAGAGAGATCTCACCAAGCTTTTCCAGAAATTACATCTCATGCTGTCATCAATTAATACTTTTAATTGGTCATCTGCCCACATTTGTGTCATTGGGCCATTGGATGAAAAAATTTCATAGATTTGCATTCCCTTCCTATCAAATAGAAAATATTAATTTTAAATATTATTAAATAATTGTAAAAAAATAATTTACCTTTCTTCTTTGTATCACGGCTAACAATCTAGCATATTTCCTCTTATGTCATATTCGTCTACTAATAGTACATCCCAATACATGATTTTGTACTATATATCGCCCTTTTAATTTGTTAATTGAATATTACATTTTTTCATGTCTCAGAGTTCTTATAACCCTGCAGGACTGAAAATGCTTTCATTTGTCTGTTATCAGGATCAAGTATAAAATTTGAATTCTATATTACTATTAAAATGTTTTAATTTATTAATGATTAAACATAATAAGAAAAGTCTTATTATTACGTACTTGGGAACAGTTCACATCCAAAAAGTTTGATGCACATTCATCCGAAGTAGTACTACTGTATGTCATTATTCACTATTTCCACCTCCATTACCATCCATTACCATTTCATTTTCTTCTATTAAATAAAAAAAATTAAAATAATTATTAAAAAAAAATCATTAAAATTATATTGTAAAAAAATATTGAAAATTATTTACCTCATATATTTCTTTGTATTATGGCTACCATGTTTCTTCCTAGATCATATTTATCCAATAATAGTACATTCCCTAATCCATGATTTGGGCCTATTAGCTTTCCTTCAATGTAAAATGGAATGTATATGGAGTCTCACTCCTGACTTGGGTTCCTACATGGAAATTTTTTATTAGCCTTACTTATCACTTTGAAATGGTGCAAAGAATAATAAATAAATTCAATTTTAATCTGATGAATTTTATATTTTATTACCATAATAAACTTCCATCTGAAGTAGTGAGAGAATTGATATCTTTTATTTTTATAAGATACATAACCAATAAATTTATCTTTATCAATAATTTCATTAAGAACCCAATCGTTATTTTTACGAATATAGCATTCTTCATTTAATAAGACATTATCATTATTAAGTATCATGAAAGAAGACAAGTATGTCATTGTTAGAATATTCATATAGACTCTTTTTGGTATCCTCCAATAGCTTCATGTCCTCTTTTTCTCTTTTTTCATACTTTTTAAAAATTCTTTTAACGTATAAGTGACTGCGAACAATAAGTGGTAAAAAATGAGTTCTAGTGCAAACAATTTTCATGAAATAATAATAAATGTATTTAAATATAAAATTAGACAATTTTGAACATAAAATCATAAAATTTATACATCACTTAATTTATTACACAATGAGATTGGGATTTGTGTACTACATAATACATTACGTCATAAAGGAACCTTGGCAATAAAAATTTGAACTTATTTTTTCGAGTTTTATTATATTAATGATTAAAACCATTAAATTTATGGGTATAGTATAAAATTATATTCAATTCATTTTAAAAAATAGCTAATAGTTGGTATTGCTTTGTTCAGAATGGAAATTTTCTCCATAGTATATTAATCTCATTTTGTTTTAAATAAATACTTTTAATTTTTACAGAAATATTATGATAATTTAATAAACAATATGAACGCAAACCACTTGTAGCCAACTAATTAATATTAATAGTGAGGTTTTTATGGTTAAGTCTAAAAAATGAGAACAGATGTTAAAAAATGTGGTATTTAACATAAAATTATTATTTCTCTTTTTTTCTAAGTGACGGAAATATTTGATGTTGAATTTACACTTGAATGTACAGGTTTTCCTAGGATTTTGGAATTTCAAAGCTATTATAACCATCGTTTGATTTCAATTTTTTTATCACATCCTCAAACTCTATTAAGCAAATGACGGCTAATATATACAGTAAATATTCTTCTAGTATAATAATAAGATATACTGATAGTTTATAAATTATACAAGTTAATTTGGTCAAAATAAAATTTTATAATTTCAAAATGATACAAGTTACTGTACATATGTACAGTTATCGGAGAATGAATTAAAAATATTAATAATTCATTAATAAAAGAAAACTCTTTATTTCTTGAAATTAAAATAATATCTAATATTATTAACTTTCCTCTTACATCAATTGTTAGTATATACATCGTGTACGTCGTGTGTATTTATTATTTAACGAGTTAACATAACCAAAGTAAACAATACCGCCAGAAATATCTAAATAAATTATATATACGCGTGTTTTATAAAGAAAAATGGGAGCATCCGCAATCTGGTTAAAAATAAATAAAATTGTGTTTTTTGATATTGGGAAGATTTTTTCCTTCTTATTGTTGATACATGAGAGTTACTATACAGTAAGTTTAAGTTTTTTCCTATATGGTTTTCATTCATTGATAATGCCCGAAATATCGGTCTTTCCCACTATCATAATTATAGAATAAACGTGTAAGATAGTAAACTATCTTTTTGTATTTTTACTTTGTTTTATATATTTTTTCGGTTTTCACTTTTTTTTTGACCGTAAATATTCATTTTTTTTAATCAAACATTGTCTTTTTATATCAAAGACCTGTAAGGAGAGTTTACTAATAGGGTTTTATATCTTGTATGCAGTATTATATTAAAGTAAAGAATTTCATGTTAGCGGCTAAATTTACTGGAGTGTTATAAGTTTTTATTTTTCTAAATTTGAATTGATGATCAAGTATAAGCAGTATTTAAAAGGAATATATTTACCTGACACTTAAACAGTATCTCCTTATTTTCTAACTTTTTATAGCTTTTTTTTTTAAAAAAAGGTAAACCTTTCATATTCTCTATACTGATCATCGTTATACAAGACTGTTCGTCTAAATTAGTGTAAATTGTAATCGAATTTTGCGTCTCTTCAACGTCTATGTTTGAAAATTACGTAAAAAAGAATGTGAGAATCACAGTATACAGTATACATAATACAGGTAGTATATTATTTCCATACAATTTATTGTATTGATTTTTTTGGATTATAATTAAAATATTTAGTACATTTAAAGTTGATGCTCACGTGAATGTTTGGTCATTCAAATATATAACAATGTTCTAATTTTAATAAAAATTTATAGCAAAAATAATAAAAATCATAATTATGAACAAGTACAAACATTATTATATAGACCAGTAAAAATCAGATACTTGACTTGAAAGTGCAATACTTCATATAACTATAAAATATCAACAATAACTTTCCCAATATGAAACGTCATTAATGATGATTAAACTATTTTTTTTGATATTATTATATAACTAGAGTAATTTTAAAATGATATCTTTACTAAGGCAAATTATAATGTATTGTTTATTTTATTATAAATTTAATTAGTTTATTTTTAATAAATAGTTAAATTGTTTTTTTATTAAAGATTAGGCGATGACGTCGTTCATGACTGTCGTCTGATAACTTGACAACCCGTTTGACCAATTAATATCTTATGTCAGCTTATTAATAATTTCACTTTATAAATTAAAAAGAAATTTGAAATTTCTAAACTATAATAAATTGTCATTTTCAGTAGAAATGTTGGTAATCTGAAATGACTTTTCTTTTTAATTTTTGTTATGTGATCGGTGTATCCAGTTCATAAATGGTCAATACCTAAATTGACAACATTTCCGAAAAAGGTAATAGTGAAGATAACATGAAACAATCAATATATTGATTAGGATCGAATCGCTTATTATCACTTATTAGAATTTCATTTTATATATTCGTTTTATACTTGTGTTCGAATTCACTTAGTTTCGTTTTTTGTCGATTTAACTTTATCATTTGATCCTTTTATTTTTGACTTCATTTATTTGATCCTTTATCTTTCTTATTGTTTTGATTTGTTTCATTTTCGATCCTTGCTTAATTTAATAATCCTTTCATTTGCATTGTTTTTCAGTTTTTCCATTAGTTTTTAGGATACAAGTGATTTAGTATAATTTTTAATTTTATAATTCGATAATTAAAATCTTTTAAAATATTTTTGTATAAATAACAAAATTATTTTTCGTTTATACATAAAATAATAATAAATTTATTCAAAAAGTGATAATTTAATTTGACATTACATTACATACTGTATGCTAGATCTTTTACGTCAAAAATAAAGTTACTATTAATATTATTGGTAGTTTAAAAATAACATTAATTTACATAATAAATAAACAATCAAAAGCTAACCAATTTATAATTTATTTTTATTAAACCAAAATATTACATACAAAACCCTTAAATAATAGCTAGTATAAAAAAAATAATTTAATAATATAATTTTAATTAAACTAAATTCTTTGAATCTTATAAAAAAAAAATCATTCAGAATTATTTTCATCATCTTGATTAATTTCATTAAGATCTACAAAATAAGTAAAATTAATAAGTATTAGCAAAATAAAGAACTAAAGAATAAATATCTTACCTAATTCGTTTAATTGACAATCTAAACATTCTGAATCTATAAATTAATTAACATAATATTAAACAATATAAAGATTTAATAATTATATTGATTGCCAATAGAAATAATTACTTACGTAATGTTGTTTTAGTAGCATCTATTAAAAAATAAAGTCATTAGTAATGTAAACTATTTTTTTGGTTACCAAAGTAAAGTTAAATTATATTACCTGAATTTACTGGTTCTGGAAGATTTTTGAAATTTAAAAGTCTACTAGTGTAGATTGATTGTGGATGTGTTTGAATGTTATTGGATCTTTTTTCACTTGTTCTGTTTAATTTGATCTTATTATTATATTCCTTTACTTGAGATTCAGTATCAATATCTTCATATACTTGAGATTCAGTACTATTACTATTTTTATACCAATAATTATACCATTTATTTAGTGTTTGATACAATTCCTTAGCAGTTGGTCTATTTTCTGCTTTAGCGTCCCAGCATTTAGTAATCAAATCTGTAAGTAATTTTGGTGTATATTTAAAAATATTTGGTCTAAGTCCTTTACATATTTTAATAGCCAAAGCATGATTATGAGGAATATTATTATAAGGAGTTTCTTCAGATATATATTCATTCATCATTATTCCAAATGAATAAATATCAGATGCTTTTGTATATTGATATCCACGTAAAACTTCTGGTGCCATATAAGGTAATACTCCATAAATTCCTTCATGTTTAACTAATTGATTTTCATTATTTGCTGGTTGGCACATTCCTAAATCACTTATAAATGTACCTTCACTACCATTATATAATATATTGCCTGAATGAAAATCTTTATGAACTTTTCCAGCATTATGGATATCTAGAAGTCCCATTGCAATTCGTAATAATTCTTCAATTTTTGAATAATAACCTGATTCATTATTGAGATAGTAATTTCTCAAATTTCCATTTTTACAATATTCTAAAACCATCATATAATCTTTGGTATCTGGATCTTGAGTTATTCCATAACATTGAATAACATTCCAAAGATAAATCTGAAGATGAGTTTTAATCTAATAAAAATATTGAAAGGAAAAAATTTTAATAAATAAATAAAATAATATTAAATAATTAAATTACATTTTTATTTAAATTACCTCATTTAAAAATTCTGTACTTATACAAGATGAATTATCCAAACTTTTTAATGCAACTTTTATATTACTATCCCTTTTCCATTTTTGATTTTCAATATCCCAGTATTTAATATATCCTTCAGGCAAATCAGCCGAATAAATTTTACCAAATCCACCTCTGGTAATATAAGTAACATCTTTAAAATTTTCAAAAGGTATCCATTCAAGATATCTTAAATAATACACAGCATTAAGTTGTGATTGTTGTATAAATT